AGCCGTAGAAAAATGGAAGAGGAAGCTATTGTAAATATACATAAAAATTGCAAAAATATCTTGGACAGCCACTGGGGCGCTAAACACTATATCGCGAGACCATAGTATCAAATTTTTCGATGAAGACCTAGTTGCTATAGAACGCAACAGGCTATTATTGAGAGCGGCGCTGGAAAGTATAGCGCACAAAAAAGATAACGACTCCTCACTGACCCCAGCAGGGAAAGGCCGGGGCAAGAATTACAACACCTTCGACGAGGAGCGTGCCAGACGGCGCGGCATCATCGTGAAGATGGAAATATACGTAAAATTGAGGGTGGCGCTGGAAAGTGAAGCGATGACAGCTCCTCGCCGATAGAAAGTGCAATACATTCGTCAAGGAGGAGAGGTACATAAAGCCGTAGAAAAATGGAAGAGGAAGCTATTGTAAATATACATAAAAATTGCAAAAATATCTTGGACAGCCACTGGGGCGCCAAACACTATATCGCGAGACCATAGTATCAAATTTTTCGATGAAGACCTAGTTGCTATAGAACGCAACAGGTTATTATTGAGAGCGGCGCTGGAAAGTGTAGCGTTTCAAAAAGAAAACGACTACCCAGCTGTTGAAATGAATAAAGGTCTTGTACGTTGATCCCAGCGAAGACCCATGATTAGCCTACCGAGGATTGAAAGGTATTAAATTTAAAGATTTAAAAATAAAGAAAACCTAGATGTTCAGATGCAAGCAATAGACGCGCGCTCGATCTTCCTTGTTACGATTTTTTAGTAATTACCCGCCTCGGGCGGTTGAAATGCACTTGAAATTAAGAGGAGCTTTGGAAAGGTACGAATACAAGAAGATCATTTTAATATCCTAAAGTACACATACCTGGCGCATTCCACGCTGTACCCGTCTGGCCATGTTCGCCGTAGACAGGAACTACCTGAAAATATAATAATAATAATTAGAAGTTTCAATCAGGCGGTAAAGGACTAACGTCGTGTGTGAGGTGTTGGCGCATATGTCTCTTATAGGTATGAGCCTTATAGAACCGTCTTTTACACGCCACACAATATCGATGCCTGCGTAAATGTTTCCTAAAGTCTTTTACGGCAAAAACATGATTACAATAGGGACACACTTTAACAGTTTCTACACGAGCCACACGCAGCAGATCCATTTGGAATTTTGAGATAATATACGGGGAACATCTCTCTCTCCGTTAATCAAAACAGGATACACGAGCCGCTCTACCACCTACGCAAATTACTTGCAAAACAGATAATACTTCCGCAATTCCTTATTTTTCATTATTCAAAATGTACTACTGCGAGGTGTGTGACAACTGTTTCTGTTTCTGCAAAGAAACCGTAGAGTAAGTATATGAATTTTTAAAAAATCAGTCTAATCGAAGCTTTCAGGCACTATCAAAAATACGGGGAAATTCCTGGTTATCTGTAAGTTTTTAAATAAATAGTATTACGCAATACAAAACATTCTTTTTTTTTAGCTATGACGGAACGATTATATTAGATCTGCAGTAAGTATAAAAAGATTAAAACTGTAGAGAATTTAATATTGGTTTTCAGATGCTACGAGGAAATGACTCCCGAGACGTAAGTATGTAAAAAATTTAAAAAAATCTAAAGTAATACTCGCAACAAGTCCTAGCGTGGTGGAGCCAAAGGAGCAAGAGGAGGATAAGGAGGAAGAGGAGGATAAGGAGGATAAGGAGGAGGAGGAGGAGGATGAGGACAGGGAGGAGGGTAAGGAGGATAAGGAAGAGGATAAGGAAGATCTGCTGGAGCTGATAGGCCCTGCAGATCTCTACGAGCTGGACTAAGCGGTTAGTAGTGGTTGTAGGCCTACAGGGGATGCCTCCACTATAAAAAAGGCAACGCACCGTGAGCTTACCTCCGGGGTGGTGTGGAAATAGCTCATTCCTCACGGGGAAAGCCTGCTAGGTAATAGTCCTCTGACGCATTTAAACTACGTGATATCACTACGTTCCACTCATCTCTTATATCGCCATCCTCTACCAGCACACAGTCCTCTTCCTCACACAAATAAAAATGTACCACTAAATCCAAATCACCCACTTCATCATAGAACATAATTTGCATCAGGTCCCCCACAGCACACCCCTCAACAGGCACTTTTATCGAAACGAAGTAAACACACACGGTAAACGTTATGAAAACTTCAGAACCGCTTTGAAAAACCTCGACGTCCGAATATATGGTATTAGGCGTGTCGGGGTCAGCAAAAATTTTGATACAATACTCGCAGAAAGGCATCTCGATTATGTATGAGAGCGAGCATCCGGGAGAAACAGCATCCGCGACTACTACACGCATCAAAAAAAAGGATAACACCTCCACGAGGCTCATAAGTCGCGTCACGAGTACGTCGCGTTGTGTTAGCCGTTGGTAGCCGTTTGGTAGCCGTTTGGTAGCCTGTTGTTAGCCGTCACGTAATGAAGGGTAACCCCCACGTAAAATAAGGGTAACCGTCACGTAATGAAGGGTAACCGTCACGTAAAATAAGGGTAACCGTCGTGTAATTAAGGGTAACCGTCGTGTAATTAAGGATAACGTCACGTAAAATAAGGATAACGTCACGCGAAGTAAAGTTAGCCGGTTGTTAGCCGTTGGTAGCCGGTTGGTAACCGGTTGGTAGCCAGTTGTTAGCCGGTTGGTAGCCGGTTGTTAGCCGGTTGGTAGCCGGTTGGTAGTCGGTTGTTAGCCGTTTGTTTTATGTCACGTTCAACTGATTATATATATAGCATACCTTATAGGTATAGCTCATTTGATGTTTAGCATCCGACATGTTTAAATGTAAAATCTGTAGTGCTGCGTTTACCTGTCGCAGCAGCTTAAGTCGTCATACGAACAGGCATAAAGATAAAAAATTTGAGTGTAGTTTATGCAACGACCGTTTTACAAGGAAAGATAGCTTGAACGCTCACATAAAGACCGTTCATAAAGATAAACACTTGACATCATCATATGGAGAAAGCGGCGAAACAATTGCGAAAGACGAGAACAATACCTGCAATAGAAAATATATATACAGACCTCTCGACTGCAATGACGAGGACAGTACCTGCAATAGAAAATATATATACAGACCTCTCCAATCACCAAATGATGATGATGAACAAACAGATTGTGACGAAGACGATCCCGACAAACTTGTAAATGAATTACGCTATTATATCGAAGAGTGCCGTTTAACTAAAGAACATTGGCTCTGTAGTGGCATTATCAACAAGCTACATAATATGGGAATAATTCAGTAACTTACCTCTTCAGAGAGTCGTGCACCTGGTGTAGCGGCGTCTAGAGCTGCGCACGCGCCTGCGCAATCTTCAGACATCGGCTGGAATGGTCCTCAGCGGCATTGGGCAAAAAAAAAAATAAATATAGTCATCACTCAGTGCCTGTAATCATTCTTCATCTAACGTTCAAAGTGTTCGGACGTGCTCTAAAAAATGTCAAGTCTAAGAGATGTTTGCTTTGAGCAAATCCAAGATCAATACTGGTACGGTTTATATGGAGATTTTAAGATTATTGTGGACAAGGGCACCGGTTACTTTAACGCTACAAAGCTATGCCAGGATGGCGGCCGAAGATTTGATAACTGGCTACGTAATAAAAGATCAAAAGAACTTATGCGATATTATGCCTCGGAAAGTGATTCCTCGGATTCTCCAGCGACGTTCCCAGGCCCCTCCTACACGGTAAAAGGCAATAAGAGCCCCGTGTACAATACGATTATTTCTGGAACCTACTTGCCCAAAGAGTTGTTCCTGGATATCGCTTGCTGGGTATCTCCGGAATTCTACATGAAATGCAGTAAAATAATCGAAAAATATTTGGTTAACGAGTTCAAGATCAACTACCAACACGATAATGAAGCTCTAATGTCCAAGTTGCGCGAATTAAAAGCCCGGAATGAAAAGTTGGAAAATTACGTAGAAGATATAAGTCCAAAGGTCATTAACCCGAACAAACGACACATGTTTGCTATAATACAGAAAAATCAAGCGGCCGAGTACTATATCATTAGAACACAGAAAAGACGTTTCCAGCAATCCTTGAAGAGGTTGCAGAAGAAGCACCCGAAAGCGCGCGTCGTGGCTGATTTGGAGTATAATCCCAACATCAGCCTTTTTAATCGTATCAAGGACGAAATACCGTATATTACATGCAAATACAACGATTTTAAACTTGTAAACGTGCCTATTGAAATTTTCGTAAATGACGTTAATAAAATGCTAGAAATAGATTAAACAGCGCTTACCCCCTCCACACACACACCTACATAATAATAAGAATACCTTTAGCAAGCGCCTCGTTCTTGGTAGTGATAAAAATGAAAACTACATTCTACTTTAAAGCCTTGAGAGATAAGGAAGCTAAATATTCGCGACGATATATTAATTAATAATTAAACAGCCTTCGTGTTATATACGTTATGAACCCGTATCGTTTGCCTTGCTATCTAAAATGGACTTTGACCCCTTCAACAAGCATTCAAATCCAAAGACGTTCAACTACATCTGGAGGCACATCGTAGAAAAGGACATGCTGCTGCAGTCCATGTGAAAGAACGTGAACAGTTTACGCCGTTTTGCAGTAATGAAAGCTCAGAGAATTTATTTAAAAAATGCAATTGTAAAAATTACGGTGAAATGTTATGTACAGATATCCTTAATAAAAAACTTGTAAACATATGACTGAGTATTATTATTTCTAACCTTTGAAAATGGGGGAAAAATGAAACACTGGTATTTAAAATATGCTTTTTATTTTTCAATAAAATTATGATAATACAGAGCACTTTACATTCATAGATATAATAATATTTAGGTGAATCTAACAGCTTGAGCGTAGTATCCTTCTGTATACGAAGACGACTCTGTACGCCATACATTTTTGCACAATCATCTTTCTGCAGGCTCTTCCCCAATCGCATTCTATAGGTATGTTGTCTGCTGGGACACCACAGATTATTCTTTCATAATACTGTAGTGCCCCCATGGCAGCGTCTCATACGATCCCTTTATCAAGTATCGCTTATCGTCGTGCGGACTCAAAGCTATTTTTTCCTGAGTCATTGTGAAGACTGCATGTTTTTCAGATTTTATTAAATTTTGCTGGATATATTTATTTTTGAAATTATCAACGCACTCGAGGAAATCCTCGAGCATGATGACGTTTTTTATTACCGATTTTTTTATACCCTTGATCTTCTTTGTTAAAGCCATATCATCACCATCAGATCGTTTAACCATATACATTTTAGATCTAAGACCCACGAAAAGTTCCATAGGGACGCCGTTAAACTCATCTTTCATCATACCCAAGACTTTTTTATTTACCTGTGGAATATTATACCTGTTATCAGCGGGATAGTCTGAAGTATCGAACCGAGTGTGACAATCGCGACGCATGACTTCATAGACATCTTTATCAGTAATCTCATATATCAGCGAGTCGGTGTCGGTATAAAGGACTGAGCAGTCGTTACCAAACTCGGGCACCATATAGTCATAATGAAAGTCATAGATTGTGGTTTTGGCGAGATCCAAGATCGACATACCAACGTATATCGGCTTGTTAAAGAAAACTTCAGTCTTATTTAACTCAATAGCAACCAAATTCTCGTTGAAAATGGTAGCTGCCTTGAACTCGGGTTTAGATATTAATGCCTCCGCACCATAACGCCCATCCCATTTATTAACCAATTTAACGATTGAGTGCTTGCGGATGTTCTCCATGGTTTTTCCGAATACCGCGTTATTCATTAGCTTGAACAAATTTTTTTCAAACTCGTTTTTAGCTGCCTGACGTAACGCGGTATTCAGATCGATGTAAGACTTAAGCCATGGAGACTGTTTAAATTTCAATACGCGATGAATTTTCGAAAGTTTAAGTCCATGTTTAAGAGCTTGTTTCAAAGCCCTATAATGTATTACATACCGGGTCTTATTATGAAGGGTGGCTAAAAGTTTAAAATTTTTACATCCGGGAGGAGCGCTATGTTCGGGGCAGAAAGGTACATCTTTATGTGTGTCATGTAAATGAGCCGGATATTCCAAGTCAACTTCAAGCAAATAGCCTTCACATGAAGTGTCTGATACGCTGGTGACGTCGATGTTGGAATCTACCCACTCGAATCCGCCGTATGGCAAGTACTGACTCATAGCCCAACCGTATTGATTGTTAATGTCGAAATAGGATAAATACTTTACCGGTTTACTCGGGTCGAAATTTGGAAGATACTTATTATTAGCCGCGCTTTTACGTTTAGAGCATTGACTTAGACCTCCACGAATTCCCCGTTCGACAAACATTACCATATCGATATCGGTCAAAAGTTCTAATGTCTGACGTGTCTTAAACAGCATACAGTCCCAGGTGTATCCAGGTAGGGTGTAGTAATTAGCTGGATCGAGACCGTATGTCTTGTGGCAACTGCTACGAAACTGCTCAAACACGTCAGCCAAAAGTAAAATATCGGTTTTCATGTACAAGTCCGTGTACTCGCCTAAATTTTGAATTTTGAATGATTGCCAAACATTTTGTGCGTGCGCGTACTGTTTAGATGATATGTTCTTATCCTCTAAACGATTATAAAAATGCGGTTGTTCTGGTAAAGATTCGAAATTAAATTTCTCAAAACTATCCATGAAATCATACGGGTAAAAGCCTTTTTTAGTTAATAAATTAAACTGTTCCGTATCGAGCTCGGAAAACTCTGATTTTAAATTTGGAAATTCAGTCATGTATGAAGCTAGCGTATTTAATGCGGAATTCATGAAACGGAATGAATCGATAAAACGGAATTTTATTAAATTTTCAGCAATATTTTTAGTAAATGATATGTATTTTTCCTTCGTTATAGGTAGTACGTCGACGCGACCTGGCATATCATTCGTGATATTCTCCAAAATAAAGTGGGCATCGTACCCGCTCAGGTTGTGAAAGGCAACAGGTATAACAACCTCATCCTTGTAATTAATGTTACACGCGTTGTGCGCGGCGCCCCTGTAGTTATTTTCCGGAGTCAAATGAAAATGGTCGCGGACTTTAACGTCCTCTGGCTTAAACGGCTGTTCACAGATGTGGCAATGAGTGGCTTTATGAAATTCAGCTTCTTGCGCTGACGTCATGGAAATATCGTAAGGGCATAAGAAAACCGTTTCTACGTCCTCGGCGAACGCAGACATTTCGCGCGCGAACCAAGACATGCAGTCCTCACCCCTATACGAGCGATAAAATGATAATGAGGAATCGTATGAACACTTTACATAGTAGCCTATGGCAGCAGGCACATGACGTTGGTACTTGTTGCCGGAGTTCTCCTCTATTAGAACACTCTCGAGGTCGGCATATATAATGAAGGGGACCTTTTCTTTGTTTCTAAAGCTTTTAAATTTTAGGTCTTTTTGGTCCTCGGTTGGTAGTCTGACTCTGCAGTCATTCTGATTTTTGCAGTCAATGTAATGGCTGGTTAATCTTTCAGCAGATGAAAAGTAGTGCAGACATCGATCACAAAAATGCTTCTTAGCATGATCTTTGCTAAGTTGAGACGATAGGAGGCGTGATAGATCTTTTATCCATACGTAGTGGTATTTCGTTGGAAGGCCATTAATTTTTTCATTTTCATCGACATCGTCGTGGTATTGATCTTGTATTAAAAGCAAGTTGACGTGCCTATCTTTTTTGTCCTTCGTCAAATAAACTGGGTGTGTGGTGAAGTTCTTTTTTGTCTTTTTAAGTATGTAAACGTTAACCGATACCCCGTTTTGTTTTTCAAACCTGAGTATCTGCTTCATTGTCATTGGGAACTGTATACCCGTCAGGTCGAGTACCGTTGAGGGCTGAGGGTAAGATGAAGTCCTATCGGGATGAAGAGTATGATCAGCAACAGGATACAAGGCCGATGTCACCGCCCACGCGAAGCAGGCGTCATCATCGTTTTTTACGTTGACGCATGCCCGCTTCTTCTTAATTGATGTGGGTAAGTCGATGTATGATGACCCCAGCTGTGGCGTGAACTTGTTTATGTTGATTCCCAAGTTGGTTATAGAGCTCAACGCCCAGCCGCTATCACGCTCTTGGAATTCGTCGAGCTCCATAGAAATCGGCATCACTACATGTTCGTGAAACCATGCCTCCAGATTTGTGTCTCGATAAATGGGTGAATTCTTCGTCGTGAAATACTTTGGCTCCTCCAGAATCCTGTCGGCTTTCTGAAGCCGAAACTGCCCGCTGAACACCGAGTTGACCTTCACTGACTCTTCCTTCTTCAACGCGTTAGTGATGCGTCGCTTGAAGAGTGCGAAGCTGTCCTTGAGGAACTCCTTGGGGTCCTTGTGTTTTAAATTGCTTATTACGCCTGTGCGGATACGGCTATCGAAAGCATTAGCCGA